ACAAATGCCAATGTTAAGAAACAAAGGAGACATCTGTGAAGCGAACACCAAAATGCCGCAACGATATAACGCCACACACCAAAAAGAACGAAAGTAAATAATTAATAAGTAACAATGGTAATAATAATAATAATGAAAAAAAAAAAAACGTACAGTTTGCGTTATTCCAACCAGCAAATGGTGTTCCATTTTAATAATACAGAATTGGTCATCATATATGAGAAAAAAAAAATCTTGAGTATACATTGATTGTGATATCTCTTCTAAAACGCAATCCCCCACCCCTCCTTTCTCCCTCCAACTGAGCAACACCAATTTTCCCCAACCAGCTGCACTTCAAACTGATATCCTCTTAACCTTTGAATTTCACCTTCTCTACACAAATCCTTTTTTTCTTTCTTTTTTTTTCTTTTCTTTTTGAGGGAAGGGAGTTCCTTGTTTTTGTTTTGTTCATATATATATATATATATATATATATATATATATATATATTATTTGCTATTCATTTGCTCTTAATCTTTTGGAGAGCATAAACTATAAACTCTCTCTTTCTCTCTCTCTCTCTCTCTACTTGAGTGATGCTGTTTCGCACAGCGTTGTGAGTTCGGGCCGCTGGGCCAACCAATCCGCATACGTCCCCCGCATGTGTCTCTTCATTGGAACGTAATCCTCCTCTAAATACGCCGCAAACGTGATGAGATTGAAATAACGGCGGAGATAATGTACACCGTGATGATGTGCATGTCCTCGTTGTGCCTCTGTGACATCTGGGGAGTTCACCTGTTGTGCAAATGCCTCTATGGCTGTTCGTAGATTCTGCATTTGTGAACATGCCTCAATGACAAGATCCACACGGTGCTTTGCATTACGTCCAGCTGTTAACACACGTTTTAGTTGCATAATACACCCGTAATCCCCACGTGAAAGAACGGAATCCTCTGGTTTATACAATGGATTAAACATATTATCCAATTCATCATAATACTCTGGCATAACAAGACCAATCAATAAACAACAAATCACCATTCCGGTAGTTGTACGGCCCCGTCCCATTTGACAATTAAACACAAATGAAAGAGTCTCTCGACGATCCATGTGCGTTGTGATGTGTGGAAGTAAAGATGACACTAAGGCATCAAAGTCCTCTACACCAGGACTCTGTTCATCTGTGACGGGAAGACGCAAGAGAGAAACACGAAATCCCTGAGCGGCCAAATCATTATAAATCTGTCGTATTGTCTTTACTGTTTCTGTAGTTGCCGTTTCCCATATTCCAACAAGTTCACCAGGATTTCCTTCATCACTGACAAGACACATTCCATCATGATTTTCCGCCTCTTTTAATACATCTGTTAACAAATGGGATTCCACAAGTTCCACCTTTTGGGCTTCAATACCTGTTAATTCCACATTTACATATGGGGCATCCAAGTTACGCAGTACAAATGGACGATCGCCCACGTAGAGAACAGGTTCTTCTCGCAAGTTTACCCACACAACATGACCACGAAGAGGTTTAGACAATTCTTCCGCACGAAATTGAGGATCAAAGAGACGAGGTGCGGCAAATGCGGTATACAGTTCTCTATCATTCTGTTCACCAGGATAAGTCGCGAAGGGTTCATGTGAAGCCCCAAGTAATGAAAGTATATTATGAATACCCATAAGTGTGGGAATGGCTACACCATAAACATTCACACCATTTACCTTACGTAGATTTGGTGCTCCACACAACTCTGGACGAAGTCCCTTCTTTCTACATCCCGGGAAGTGATCTGCTTTCAGTGCAAAGTTACCTGTTAAGACATCACCACTTCGCCGTGTGAGATCTGTTTTTAATATATTGCGTGTTTCCACATACTTCAGTGTCTGCTCTGCACGTTGATCAAGATTGGCAATAATATTAGCCACTTCCACTCGTTTATCCACCCAATCACTGAAAGGTTCCTGTGTATCATAATCACCCATCGTATCAATATAAATAGTACTAAGTAATATAAGAAGATATGTACGTACTAAATGTACGGCTTCTCGCATTAACTTTGCCTTTAGACCCATCGTATCATTTACCATCTCTTCTTTAAGACGGTTTAAGGCATGAAGTATATTCCATCGCATTCCACGTCCACCAAGCTCTGTTGCAGCCGTTACTGCTCGCAGTAGTGAACCTGCTGTAAGCATCTGACAAATGGTTAATGCCACTTGTAATTCTATAGGTTTAGTAGGTACCTCTTCTGGATTAACAGGAACACAAGAAACGATTTGAGCTTGTGGTAAAACAATATTATTATGACCCACACGAAGTACCTCTCTTATATCATCTGGAGTGGTTAACTGTCGTAGATTACGTACACGAGAAGCACGAAAAATGGTAAGAATATTAAGAGCTACCGTTGTTCGTGTAGCTCCCTCCGTATCGTTGATAATAAATACATCCTCAGCATCACTATATTTGCTTAAAAATGACAAAAGAGGATCAATATCCGATGGTAACATATGTCCAGAGAAAGGAATTGGTATATGACGATAATCGATTCCACACTCTTTTGCAAAATCCAACATGGTAGCTTTGGGTGTTCGCACAGTACATACCTTCACACGTAAAGTTACTCGTTTTCCCAATTCATCTATACGATGTAATAAAATTTGTCCTTTACGTTCTTGTGATTCAAGAATCACATCTCGTCGTAAACGTTCCTCAATTTGTTCTAATGCCTTTAGAGAAACATGCATGGTAGATCCTATTTCTGTAGGATTACTTGGAACAGAATCATAATCGGTAAGTGTAAAACAGGTTTCATTAATAAATACCATCGGTTCTGCACGAAGACTGATCCATTGAATACGTTTTTGTGTTGGGAATTTTCTGCGTATTTCCGTTACGAGTGTATCTCGTCCCTCTTGTGTGAGTCTTCCACATGTAAAGATCGGCACATCCGGGGCTAATTGCCGTAAGGCATTTATACTCACATGATCCTCTGTTTCCATAGGAACACTACACAAAATACGACCCGCGTTAAGTACATTGCCTTTACGATGACGAACAATACTTGCCGCCCAGGCCTCTTCACCTGCATCCACAGGGGCCACAATCCGTTCTTCTTTAAATTCCTCTTCCATAGATTGAATACTAGTGATTAGGAGTTTAAGTTCATTTTTTTCCGCAAGCCATACACTGAAAGGTGCTTTGGTATGATATCCCCAAAAACGTTGTTCACAATAGTAAGAGAAAACAAGAAAATACGCATATTGTTGTAAATGCATAATAGCTTCTTCTGCAGATGCACTTCCTGTATTAAATGCGGCATTTATATGTTCGGCGATAGAGTATCCCTTATCTGAAAGTTCCAACAGCACCATCACTCGACGTTCATGAAGTTTACCATCTGGAATAAGTGAAACAATTTTTTTAATGGTTCGGAAATTAAATCCTCTAATATCACTACGTAGTAAACGAATATCAAAGGATTCATCTGGAATACATGCTTGATATAAACGTACAATACTTGTAATAAGCATCATTGCACTTGTTTTACCTCTTCCGGATTGACAATTGTAAATAATAACAGATTTTGAATCTTCCAAGCATAAATCAACCACGAAATCAAAATCTTGTGGTTGAGGACCAACATTTCTTGTAATAGGTCGACGGTAATACATAACAGTTGGTTTTAATCCATTAAAAACATCTTGAATAGTTAAAACACGAGAAGGATCTGCAGATTCCCATTGATCCTCCATTACACCATCTTTTCCTTCCATGTGGATACTTATATTACCACCATTTTCACGAGCCTCTTTCAATACTTCTTGTTTAAGTTTTTCTTCAATCTGTGCAATACTACGACTGGTGACATTAGGAATGATCATTGGCATAAGAGGTTCTTTCCGCTCACGAACAATATGAGCTTCATTATTAATATACACAAGTGGTTCCTCTCTAAGATTCACCCAAACAACAGCCCCATCAAAAGCACGACGTAAAGCATTTAAAACTGTACTAATCGCACTAATACTCGGTTGGGCTACTCCAGCTATATTTAATAAAGGCACCATACGAAAAAAAGGGGCACCTGCTATAATTCCAGTTGGTCCTTTACGTTTACGCAATGCATCCTGTACGTCCACCTTTAGTATATAATTAGATGAGAGAATATCACCACCACGAGTAATATCTAATTCACTCGGTGATGGTAAAACCACATCACGTCTTCCGCCCAAAAGTTCCATAAATGCCACTGTTGTATCCGTTACTCGCAAAACACTACTGGATCGCATAGACATTCGTCCCATTGTCATATTTAAAACAGACTGTTCAGCTTCAAATAAATTCGTCACACTGGCATTATTATTTCCCATTCTCCATACATCTAAAGAACTAGCCTCCATTTGAGGATGTATACATGAGACAAGTGGTTCACTTTCTTTCTTTGTTTCTTCCGGTTCAGGAAATGTACAAACTATTGTTGGCATATCAACTATCTCAGGCAGAGTTCCACTCGCAGCTGTTTCTCCTCCATTCACATCTAATGGTGAGGGTGGGGATACAGTGTTAGATCGTGGTTGTGAAGTCTTCCATGAACGAGCCATTACACTTTGAATACGATTAATACGTGAATTACAACGATTAATTTCTTCTTCTAACCTTCGTACTTCACTCTCATCATCTTTTTCTTCTTCTTTTTCTTTCTTCTCATACTTTTCTTCTGTTTCCTTCTTCTCCTCTGTTGTTGTTTCCTTCTTCTCTGGTATTTTTTCCTTCTTCTCCTCTGGTATTGTCTCCTTCTCCTCAAGTGTTGTCTCTTTAGGTTTCTCTGTTGTTATTTCGTTCTTTTCCTCTGGTATTGTTTCCTTCTTCTTCTCTGTTGTTGTTTCTTTAGATTTCTCTAATGCGCTTTCCTGCAACTGAGGAAGAATAGGAGTTGCATTATATTTAGCTCCACTTATAGTCAAGGATATATCATCCATACAATTTGATTCTGGTGTTCTCAGTTCATTTATTGGATCCACTGCGGAAAGAGTATCTATATCCTTAGCGACGAGTCTCTTAATATCAGCACAGGGAACAGTACTCGACATAATACGTCGACGTTCATTCAATCGCCTCTCCTGCATGCGTAGAAGATGTTTTAACTGTAGCAATTCATCGGCGGCGGCGGTGGCTCCACCATTTATTGTTCTTGCTGCTTTTTCTGGTTTTGTTTTTGGTTTCGTTGGTATTAACATCGCGCCTGCAGCCCGAATGGGAGGCAATTTACTCGGCATCTCATTGCGGCAGACGGACTTTCGTTTGCTGCTATTGCTGCTGGTACTACTGGTAGCTGTAGGGGAGAGATGCAACATCCTCTGGTGTTTATCTTTTTCTTTCCCCTTTCTTCCAATAGAAATAGATAAAGAGTGAGAGAAATAGAGAAATAGATAAAAATAAAGAAATAACGATCAAACATAAGAAAATCATTAAAAAAAAAAAAAAAAAAAAACAACACAGAGACACAGTGATAGAATTACAAATACTATGGATATCATTTTTCCGAAAAGACAAAGGAAGAAATACATCCTCAACAACTGCCTTTCCAAGAGACTAACATGAAAAAAAAAAAAATACACGGAAATTGAGTTTCTGCTGAAACAGCTGCCCAATCAGATAGAACGCACAGATGAACAATAGTAATGCATACTCACATACCAAAAAATCAAAAAGAAAAAAAAACAAGACTCCACACATATGCATACATCCCCATATATATATATATATATA